TCTATTTGCGTAAAGCCTTTTGCCACAAGTCGCGCTTTATATCTCTCTATATTCCCTTGAGAGTCAAGTTTTGTTTTGTAGACCTATTTACAGCCTACTATTTTGGTTCCTTTAGTAATTATTTTCAAGTCTCAAACTTTATTGGCATTCATAGATTTCATTTCATCTTCTATGGCCTCAAGCCACTTTGATGAATGATCACTTCTCATGGCTTCTTCAATTAAGGTGGGATTATCCTCTATTTGAAATTTCTCAGGGCTGTATACTTCATAGTCAGCAGGAATAGCTGATTTTCTAACTCTTTGAGACCTTCTAGGGGCCTCCACATTTGGCACATCTTCTGTTTGAGGCTGTTGTTGCTCCCCCTCATGTGTGGCAATAGGTTCTATAGGATCCTAAAGAAAAGGTTCCTCATCATCATTCATTATTGCCACAGGCGAAATAACAACAGGTGCTAGCACCATAATATCTTGCACTGTCGATACTGTGACAACAGGTAGTGAGAAAAATGGCTCATAAATCATCGGAGTGGGCGCATACACCCGCTTCTCTTCAAGGTCAATTTCTCGAGCTACCATGCTCCCCCTCATCATTTCATCCTCTAGGAAGATAACGTGTCTCATTTTCACAAACTTTGTATGTCTCTCTGGACAGTAGAAACAAAAACCTTTTGACTTTTCTGGGTAACCAATGAAATGGCAACTTATTGTTTTAGGATCTAGCTTCCCAATGTTTGGGTTAAATACTTTAGCCTCAGCAGGACTCCCCCACACACGTAAGTGGTTTAGTGAGGGTACTCTTCCTGTCCACAACTCATACGGTGTTTTTGGCACCGACTTACTTAGTACTCTATTGAGAATATGAATGGCGGTTTTTAACGCCTCCATCCACAGGCTTAACGGTAAGGTGGAGTAACTTATCATACTGTGCACCATATCCATCAGGGTACGATTGCGTCTTTTAGCTACTCCATTCTGCTGAGGTTCGCCCGGTGTAGAATACTAGGCTACTCTGCCATTCTCCTGTAAGAACCTTGCAAAAGGTCTAGGAACTTGGCCATATGGGGTATGCCGACCGTAGTACTCCCCCACGGTCGCACCTGACTATATTAATCTTTAAATTGTGTTGGTTTTTAACTTCTGCCTTAAATATCTTAAATTTATCCAATGCTTCTGTTTTTTCTTTGATTGGATAAATGTAGTTATAATGGGAGTAATCATCTGTGAATGTTATGAATGAATCATAACCATCCACACTCTTTACAGGAAACTGACCACAGATGTCTGTGTGAATAATCTGTAAAATTCCTACGCTTCGTTTGGCATCTTTCTTAATTTTCTTTATATACTTTCCTTTTATGCATTCTCTGCATTATTCTAAATCTGAGAGCTCTAATGGAGGAAGAATATTATTCTTAACTAGTCTTTCTATTTTCCCCCTCGAAATATGGCCTAAACGACAGTGCCATAATTTCGACAACGCATCGTGAGCTCTCTTATGCCACCATTTCCAGAGTAACTCTCTGTCACCAGCTGCTTTATCAGCTAGGTAGCATATGTCTTTGAAGAGCCAGTGAACTGAGTCTTTATTCCATCGAGGTACTCGGTGACCGTGTCACACTCTGGGATTGAGCCCACAATTGCAGGCTCAATCGTGTTCTTTATCATAGCCAAACATTTCTTGTTGGCAGTAACCCACTTCCTATGCTCAAGGTCATAGGACATCTTTTGGGATTCAAAATCCCTCTCTTTAGTTGCCCAAGTGACATCAGCCTCGTTTGTCTCCCTCACCGGTGCCACGAGCTCAGTGGGACACGGTGAGGTGACTACCCAGTCCACCTCAGCCAAGATGAAGGCCAGGTTAATCTTTTTATTCCACTCCGTGTAGTTGTCACCTTTGAGAGTGGGGATCTCTTTGATACAACCCATCAAGTTATATCCGTCTGGCAACACAATTTATATAGTGTGAGAACATAAATAATAACAACAATTGCATGCCTTGATTCTAACGTTGGTCAAAATTAAACATACAACAGTTCTTATACACTAATTCTACATCACCGTTGGGTAGAAATAGAATTAATACATAAAATCATTAAAATTACGATATTGTTATTAACATCGTTGGTCAGAAAATAACAACATCATAATCATATCAAAATCTCTTTTTCTCCAATTAAGTATTACATTGGTTGATTACGATATTGTTATTAACTACGTTGGTCAGAAAATAACAACATCATAATCATGTCATAATCTCTTTTTCTCTAATTAAATATCACGTTAGTTGATTACGATATTGTTATTAACAATGGTCAGAAAATAACAACATCATAATCATGTCATAATCTCTTTTTCTCCAATTAAGTATCACGTTGGTTTAAAATAACTGGAGAATAAATAATTTCTTTAGCAACGAAAACGAATACTCAATTTCTTGAATTTTACCCACAGGGAAAAATTACTTTTTCTATTTTCTTTGAGCTATTTTTCATTTTCTAGTTTTGGAAAATAAAAAAGAAAAACTGATCTTGGTAGGAACTCTTACGATGGCCCGGCCCGACTCTTTTCACTTTCACTGCAGCGCGTGCAGACTGCTGGCGACCAGGCGCATAGCGTGGGCTGGGGGCAAAGCGCCTGTGACTGCCGCGCCGCCTGGGTCAAAACTGGCCCAGTCGCGCTCCGCCGTCGGATCGCATCCGACGGTCGCTCGGCCGTCTCGCCCGAACAAAACCGCGGACGCCGGTCTCTCCCGAACCCTAAACGCTCATTTGCGCCTCGTCCTTCTCTCTCTCTCTCTCAGCCACAGTGAGGTGAGTCCGAGCGAGCAGACGACGGAGGGCGAGCAGAGCCTCGGCGCCGTCGCCGCCCGTCGCCAGCCGTGGCGCTCTCCCTAGCGGTGGGCGCCATTGCCGAGTGGTGGTCTGCGCTGCAGCTCTGGCTTAGCGAGCTTCGGCGAGCAGCACCCCTGGCTCGGCCTTCTTCTCCCCACTCATTGGCGAAGCTGCCTGCTGACGGTGTCGGCGGATCGGTCGAGAGCCTCCCTTCCCTTCTTCCCCTTCTGATTTGAGTCTGGTTTGTTCTTCTCGGATTCAACCGATTGGGGATCTAGGGTTAGGGTTTCGCTCTGTTCTTCTTCTTCCCGAATTTATTGCGGGTTTAGGGTTCGGTTTCGAGATCCTTTCCAAAACCGACAACCTTTCTCTTCTCTGTGCTTCACCCGATTAGGGTTAGCTACCGGTGGCCGTCGGTCTAGCTCCGGCGAGCCGCCTCCCATGCCCTTTCCCCTTTCCCCTTCTCTTTCTATAGATCTTGCTGTGCTCTTCTTGGTTCTTTACCGATTGGAGATTAGGGTTAGGGTTAGGATTTCGTTAGGGTTAGGATTAATCCGATTCGTTTTTCTTTCGGTTTGGGTTCGGTTGAACCCTCTGATCTTTTCTTGCCGCGCGCCAGCGAAGACGGCGGTGCGGCACCTTTCCCCGCGCGGTGGCGGTGGTGATCGGCAGTTAGTGACGCCCGCCACCCTCTCGGTCTCTTTTCTATTTCTTTTTTACCCGGTTAGGGTTAGGGTTTCAATCCGAACCGTATCGAACCCTCTGTTCCTCTTCGATTCCTTTTCAATTCTCTACCCCATACTAGATCTACACACTGTTAACCTGGCTCTGGTACCATTGTTGGAAACAATGTACCTCTGAACCGTAGATCAGGGGTAAGCATCTTACTTAGATGGGAAAACTGTTGATGTACCTCGCCCTAGGTCATCTTTTGGTCCATGGCGCCGCAGCCGCGTGGACGCCGGTGTCGTGGCAGCTCGGTGCAGTGGAGTCCAGTGTAGTGGTGGCGAGGTCCAGTGGCGATGGCGAAGTCGATGGGGCTTCTTGTCGCTGGCAGCACCCTTCTTTAGATCGGATTAGGGTTTCTCTGTAGGTGGTTACGGCGGCTCAGGTCAACCTCGTAGTTAGAGCCCTGATCCCCACCTCTCTTTATAGTGCTGTGCGACAGGGGCCCACCAACCATATTAGGGTTGTGCGCCCCCGATTAGGGCGTAGATCGAGATCAACTAACAGTGATTTGATCTTTGGACAACAGGAAACACTCAGTGCTTCAAGGAAACGCAAATCTCCGAACCTCTCAGTTGGTACCGATTCTAAGCTGCTGCAATTGGAAATTTTTATTTTCTTGATATTAGGCACATAAGCTGGATGTAGAAATCGTTCGAGGTTTGATAAGTTTCTGCAATCTGTAATTTCTACAGCAGTCAGGGACAACAAAGTGCTATTAGTTCTGTCATAACTGTGAATTTGCTCTGAGTTTTGTGGATGAAACCTGCTTGGAAGAGATTCACCATTATAGTTTTTGATCTTGAATTGCCCTCTCTGTCCTTCGTCAGTTGCACCTTTAAGAATACCAAATGAATGTATATGATCAAAATGACATTTCACTAATTCAGATTTCTGCAGATTGATCAGGATACCAATGCTGCTAGGAATGTCATCAATCTCCCATTTCTCAGCATAAAACTTCTGCATATTGTACAGGCGACAGAATGATGCAGGAAGTTTCTTGCAAAGGCAAGAGTCCAGGATTTTAAGGTACTGAAGGTGCTTCATATTGCTAATACTATCTGGCAACCCCTACTTAGAGATAGAGGAACAGACCATAACACGCATGCACAAAAGTTCAGTACACCATTTCTCCATCACAGTATTACCAGTTTTACTCTTCAAAGACAGGCCCCAAAGTAGGGTGCGCAGCTTTCTATGCTGTGCCATGTCATGCTTCAATAAGTCAGAACACTGAACATCTCCGCCCTTGAGCACCAACAGATGGCGGACATTCTGAGGGATCTTCGTAAGATCCTTAGTGTCTTTTACTATGAAACACTCGTCCTTTGAAACCAGTTGTGCCATGTCATGCATCAAATCATGGATTACATATTTCTCGTGGGATCGTGGATATTTCTGAAAAAATGACAGATGCGCAAGTTCTTCAAAGTACTGATCACCAGTATTGATGTTCTACTAAGCCTTCTGCCACCCAAATTTCAGCTAAATCTTTCTTTCTGAAATTGTAATCTTTTGGGTACACAGCACAAAACGAGAAGCACCTCTTTAAATAGAATGGTAAATACATGTAGCTCAACCAAAGAGCCGGCAAAATGTCAGTCTCCTCTTGTCTAAGCTCCCACAGCTGACTCTTGAGAATCCTATCCCAATGTGCTAGGTCAAGGCTCATCCCTAACAGCCGTCCAAGGGTTTTTGCAGCCAAAGGAGATCCTTTCAACTTTGGGAGTATTTTTTCACCAATCGGTTCCAACTCAAGATAATTGTTGGAGGTATCAGATCCAAACACACAGAGTTTAAAGAATTCCCAAAAGACATCTTCATTCAAACCCTCTAAAGGAAAGGGATCCATTGTACGCACTATATCAGCAACCTTCGGAGACCTAGTGGTGACAAGCATCATGCTTTGCTTAAGTACATTTCTAAAAGGTGCGCAGAAGCGCTTCCAATCCATCTCATTTTCATCCCACATGTCATCAAGGACAATTAGGAATCTTCTAGTGTTCAGGCTATTTACAAGAGCACCCTGAAGAAAATTCAGATTATTATTTTTTGGCACTTCCCCAGAAGATTGTTCTATGGCTTCTTTAGTTAATCTCTTGGCATCAAAATCATCTGACACACAAATCCAAATTATTAGGTGAAAGCGCCGTTTCACTTTTGAATGGTTGCAAATATCTTGAGCCAAGGTGTTTTTTCCAACACCCCCAATTCCAACAATTGGCAAAACTAGAACACTCGTTACTGTTGCTTCATTAGTATCAATGGTAGCACAAATTTGGTTGCTTGCTGATGAACAAACTCCACTTCTTTTTCTCTTGTGTCCAGAAGGACCCGCGCTATTATTTGTTGGTACACCAAGCAACCTGATTAGCTTATCCTTTTCCTCATCACGGCCAAAAATCTTTGCCTCAGTGGGGAAAGAGGTGGTCTCAGGCCTAAATGATTTGTCAAACCATGGAACTGCTTGAAGTAAGCCCATTTTCTCGAGCTGTCCAGAAAGATGATTGAGCCTCTTCTGGATATCAGTCACCTTATTGAAGCTGCCTTGAGTAACACTGTGAAAGAAGTCAATGACTGGTTCCACTGAGATTGCATTGCCCTCTACTGAAAGCTTTGTCTCGTACCATCTGAACTCATCTAGAATGTCTTCTGCATCATACACTGCATCTTTGAGTCTTGAAAGGAGGTCAGCCACAGAATCATGATGGATCCTCCACTCTGCTCGATCAATGAGGTTGTACATTGCTGGTAGAGTATCACTAAGGCATTGAAGGTCACCCTGCAACTACCTTACATCTCCATGAAGTTTTTCCTTTTGTGTTTCATTCAGCTGAGGTTTTGGAGATGAAATGGCCGATGTAACCCACTGGAACAAATTGGCGCACTCATTTAGGCCGTTAACGGCACCGATGGTCTTTGGTATCTCGATTATGTTCACATTTACTTGACTCTAAAGATTTCGGTTTCTCCTATCCTGGACAAACAGTGGATGTATTGAGCATTAGAGAAGTATATATTGTGGTCAGATTTTCAATGTTAGTAAAGGGTACAAATAAGATATTGCAGTTAAGACGTCAAATATGTCACATTTTTTTGTCATAGAAAAATAATATGATCGACGAGTGCATAAACCCCAGATATCCTCACCTACCCTATTATCAACACTCAAAGACAGGTTAAGCCAAGCTAATTGGCTTACAACACTCGTGACTTAGGGGCGCTCCAGCCAACTGGAATCCCAAGACGGAGGGTGCCAATCGACACTCGGGGGCCCTTGACTGAACCTCGTCAACAAATATCAAGCCGCTGGTGTCATATGTGATCGATCTTGCATGTCCATCTCGGTATGGAGATTAGTGAATAACTTGTCGCTGTGCAGGCTAGTTTCGAACAACAGATATAGATAATGCACTACAACTACAAGAGGACACTAATTAAGATCAGAAAAATGGAGCATGAGTGGTTATTTTGTTCAGACATGCATATTAATTTGGACAGCCTTATGAAATTAGGTGTGGATAGGCGCAGTGCATATTGAGAGATCATACCTTCTCAATGACACTGGGGGGATTTCCAGGAGACGTAAATTTTGGTTCTACTGCATTTAGACTTTGAACTATGTCCAGTGAATGAAGTAGGCCTTTTATTCCACTCAGGTTCCAGGCACTTCAGAGCTATAGAGATGCATTGTTGCACTTGTTGGATACACATTTCCAGTGACATATGCATGGGTGTTATCTCTATATAAGTCTGTTCCTCCAACTTCCAACCACCTAAACATTTGCATAAGTAATTTATCACAAAAGGACATTTCCATAAGTAAGGTAGAAAATTACAGTATGGAATAATACTGAATAATCTTACTTGATGTGTATAGTGCCTGAGAGATGTTTCAGTTCTCTCGCTGATATTGGGATAGTCCTAGCGACCTGTGATTATCTCTATGATTATGACACCCAAACTGAATATATCTGCTTTAGAGGAGATAATTCCCTGGTCTATGTATTCTTGTGCCATATATCCACTGCAGAAGATTTTGCATAATCAGATGTAGAAAATAGAGTAGTAAAAAACTGCAGCTCTAGCAAGAGGCATAGCTTACAGCGTTCCAGCTAAGTTTGAAGTGAAAGTTCTTGATTTTTGTTCACCCAAAAGCCTTGACAAACCAAAATCCGCTATTTTGGGCAACATCGTGGCATCCATCAGTATGTTTTGGGGTTTAAGGTCCAGGTGAACAATATGACATTAAACATGAAGATAATGCAAACCTCTGCAAAGTCACCTAATTATCTCATATCTCATATCCCAATCAAGGACCGAAAAATCACCTGTAGGAATAAATCAACAAACAGAAAAAATTTATATAGCGCATACTGTTATGGTACCATAGAACCACCACCTCTGTGTGGATGGGTGACATATATATATATATATATATATATAGGGAGAGTATATTCAGTAGCCAGCTATAAAATAAGTTATTCTGTAGCCATCTCCATTTACGATAATTTTATATACTAATTTACGATAATGTCAATACATATTTACGATAGTTGGGTTACTATAATACATGAGGATATTTACCATAAGGCTATAGTAAACCACTTAGTAAGGAGTTACTATAATCTCGTAAATTAACATAGTAATTATCATAACTCAAAAGTATTCTGAAAATAATTTATTTTGTAGCCATTACTAAGTGTATATATATATATATATATATATATATATATATATATATATATATATATATATATATATATATATATAGACTGCGCTAGTTTAGTACCCAGGGTACTGATTATTATTCAGTACCCGAGGCCATCCCCACGCCCGCAGATGACGCACGATCGCCCGCGGCCAGCCTAAGCGATGCTCGTTGATTTTTTTTTTCGTGCCTGTTGCCTACTTATGCCTGTGTTTCTGGCCGTTTTTTTTGTTTGTTTTTTTGTCCTTTGTGTGTTTCTGACCTGTTTTTTTTTTTGGTCGGACGTTTTTTTTTCCGTTGTTGCGTTTGTAGCCGATTTTTTTTTTTTTTGCGTACATGGACAGAATTCGGTTATGGGGTCATTTTTTCTGCTAGTCCTCCATGGATGCATATATTTGGCCATTAATTTCTTTCTACACTAGGTTCCTTGTGATGAATTACTTCTCAACAATGATATTTCATTATCTAAACTATAAATATTATTTTAATTTTACTAAGAATTGTGAATCGGTCCCAGGAGACAATGTTCTCGTAATATTTTACAATAGTACATGATGCTAATCACAAATAGTACCATTTCGTTCGTTATCATAGTTACAAAGATGATGCACAGACATCCATTTGTTTTTGTAGAACTGCAATGATGACGCACAGACATCCAAGTCTTTCATTCTGATGAACTGAAATCTGCATCATTGAGAGCTTTGGATGTCATTTGTAGAATGCAGCAATGCAACACAACTTTTCTGGATGATGGCCTGTTATCATGTATATTTTCCTATCTGATTATATTATATGTCCCCATTCAGCAAACACTTGGGATGCTGCTAACATTGACCTTCATTTGCATAGCACCCAGACCCGACTTGTTAACACGTCAATTAAGTACACAAGCACTATGACAGTCGCTTCTTAAAACACCTGCAATATAAGATACATGTATAAAATTCATGAAGTAATTGATTGCCTATCTCAGAGACAAATTCAATAGTCAATAAAAGCTAAGAAAATATTAGCTTGTATTTCTTTAATTTTTTTTCCATTGCTAATTTGATCTGCTTGTGCTGAAAAAGCTAGGGAGCCATAGAAACCTCAAATATTTGCGGCCAAACTAGCCTAGTCATAGATATTGTTATGTGTGGCCAGATAAGACTTCCATTATATTTTATCTAGCATAGAATTAGATTAATTATTGATAATGAATATGTACATGCAAAAACCTCTCTCTATCTTACATAATGAAGTGAGTGAACCATAAAAGCCTCAATTGTTTGCAATTATGATCAAACATTTGCACTTCACAGAACTTGATCTAAAGCAAGGCATTTTTCTTGTAATAGAACATGCACATATTCTAATACGACACCAGCCTTAGCGTTACACTGAACCTCTAGCAGAACAAGGGAAACAGAGATCATGAAATCTAACTAGTACTTCATCCCAAATTATAAGACGTTTTGGCATTTCTACATTCATAGCTTTTGCTATGTATCTAGACATAATATATATCTAAGTGCATAGCAAAATTTATGAATCTAGAAAAGCCAAAACGTCTTATAATTTGGAATGGAAGAAGTACTAATTAGTAGCAGGAAACTTAGGAGGCATCCATGCTATATGTAAAACATGATGCTGAAAACGGCATGTGTGATATCATGGTGTCTTAGGTGGATCATCTTGGTTCTTACTCTGTTTTGTATATCCTTTGTGACATTGATGCCACACTAAACAGCTCACCACCAATTATTATTATCATTTCATTGAATACCCAAGTGAGCACTAGTTCAAGTAAGCTGCCTAGATTTATTAGCAAAAAGAATCCATACATGCACTGTATGGTATGCATATGTACCATGCTGAATTGTTGGAAAGAAGGCACCTATGTTGGATCACAGTTCCAGATATTATAAGGCTTATACTGCCGTGACATATCAAGTAGTACTACTCCTAGTGTTACTAATGGTTATAGCTTCTTACCTTTCAGTTTTGGTATGCAAAAGATGAACAAATGGCTCTCTGATTCACACATAGACCCATATAAATTGCATTAGGGAATCACTTCCAAGTGCTGCTGGCACCATGGTACTTCTTAGGTCATTCTCATGCAGAGAACGCAAAATAGCAAGTTAAGGTTGTTACCTTTTCTTAATGGTGAATATAGTGATGCAGACAAGCAGGAGAAAGTGCTCTAATTCCCACATTCACAAGTTTTTAGTGAAAAGTGCCATCAGAGGATTTGGATCATCGTGCATGTAAACATCTGCTAACCTGCATAATTTGTCATAGAAAAATTAAAGAGTATGTCAAAAAGGCTTATGAATCTGTGAGTATGATGAATGGAGAAAATTAGTAAAGATGCAAAGAGAGTGCAAGCATAAAATGGAATAGTTTCACTTGATCCTACTTTAGGGTGTGACAGAACTCTGAAGTGTGCACTCCAAAGCAACATGAAATGCTTTGCCACCCATCGAGCAAACAAAATATCATGCTGAAAAGGAAATGGTAAGCAGCGGAAGTTTACCATTAGGAAACTACTCCTAGACTCCTGACTCTGACAAGAATCAAAAGAAATTCATTGCAATAAGAATAATATATATTGCAATATAGCTTCCATATGAGATTACATCCAGACAAACATTATTTATATAAGCTGAGAGTTCACGTATAAAGCAAATTATCATATAAAATTTTCATGATATGACATTTGAATATTGCATTGTGTAGCTGATTAGGTCTTAGCAACAAACATTTAGTTCTTCTGAGATGAAAAAAAATACGGATATATTCCTTAAGCTAAGAAGATTCAGTTCAGTTGCAGGGAACTGTGGTTAAGAAAAACAATTTATGCTTGTTCACTGGAAACTTGATCTAACTAACACAAGAAGAGGCAATACCTATCGGCTATAGCACATAATGACACACCACACTAATTGATTAGGTAATTTTTCAAATGTGAAAATATGTGTTCTACCAAAAACAATTACTAGTAGGAATCAAATGCACGATAGTTTCTTAGGTGAATATCTCCTTAGGTGTGATTCATTATTACAACCACTTCAGCAAACTCATAAGTACATAAGACCGCAAATACAGTGACAAGATCAAAATAGTCTCCGTAGGTGTAATTCATTATTAGAGACCACATCAATCTTGACGTTTCCATCACAACTGACAGGAACATATAGAGTAATGCAAGGCCGTTCCAGGGTAAGAAATCACCATTCCTCATGTGCAAGAAAATTTTGAAAGTAGAGTGGAAGATTTAATTAATTTGCAGACTAAAATATTTCTATTTTGTGTGAATGGTGATAAAAGAGCAACCAAGAAATATACATAAGTATCAAGAAAATTAATCATGTGGTAGCCAAGGAAATGGAGCAGAACATATTTGCACTTTGCAGGGTTATAATGTAATCCACATGTTCTTTACGTTATCATAGGTGGATTATTTAACACCAGTACTCAGAAGGATCAAAACAATATGGTAAATAAGTTGAAATGGCAAGGAGTTAAAAAACAATACAAGATCCACTTTTGTTGGCACCTGGTAAGATCTGAACTGAATCAGGAGTAACATTCTTGAAACTGTGAACTTAAATGGATAGCTAAGTAAAAACTACATGAGCATGAGAGGAGCATGGAGAAGGTTTCATATACATGAATATCAGAATCCCATACTCAGAGTTGCCATTTACGGAGGTGTCCAGGATATGAGACTCAGACGAAACAGACTATAATGAATTTTTCAAATAACAAAAGTGAATTAAAGATCAAATCAGGAACTATTTCATGTTTAGAAAATGTTGTGCTTATATTGAAAGCAAATGTGAGTTTAAACATTTTGCTGGGGATGACAGCTTACAAACCTAGTGGCACAACATTGCAGTTGCAGCTTCACAAACTAGCAGAACATACAAAAGTATTTGTCCCCACTTTCAGGCCATGGCATGTAAAATGAAAATACAGAATAACGGAAAGATACCAACTAACAGATGGCTATACAAGATGGAATCGCGTACTGAAAGCAGATATGTTGATAACTTGCGAATTTATTTTTCTAATCAGGCAATTTAATAGTAGAAGCAATCTGATACTGTTAAAAAAACTCATTCTTGAACCAGCTATGTGAGAGAACTCAATATAGTAACATTCACACAAACACGGAGCATCCAAGAGACTTGCTATTTACTACCGTACAATCTGGTCTGGATAATTCGAGACTGAAATCAAGTAGTGATGTATGATCAAAAAGGTATTTTATGAAATCCCTCAATTATACCTGGAATCTCACCTATGGTTCATGCATTCTATGCCATGCTGCCACAAAATCTTCTAGTTCATTTGAGCTTGCCTGATTAGAAAAAATGTGTCCACCAAAAGCGATAAATAAGTGTCCACAAAATCACTAAACAAAATAGAAACCCAAGTGAACATGCTGCAACAGGAATTAATAAGCTGAAAATTAGAAACTTCTAGTTCATTTGAACTTTGCCTGATAAAAGTGTGTCCAGTAATTTTAGGAAAGATGGCATCATCATAGTTCATGGAGTATGCATCATGGACTAAAACAACCACAACCTAGAGTTAATGAAAATGAAAAAAGAAGGAAAGGCATCAAAGAGAGAAGGGAACACTAATTTTAATGATTGTGACATTTGTGATTCTAGAAACATTTTTAATATCAAAAGCAATTCCTGATGCCAGTACAACAAAATTCTCATTTATATGAAACCATATAATAGGGTGTCCTTTGTGTCTCCCCGTCAGACTGACTCACAGACACTATCTCATAATCAGTCTATCTAATTTCATTCCTCCCTCTACCCACATATGTTAATTAACAACTAGATGAACAAAACTGGTGTTTATGAAATAAGCTCTAAGCATCATAATTGGAGGTGAAAAATTCCATCTATGAATAAATTCAAAATAAGTAATATGTTGGCATATCCATATATAATCTCTGATGTTTTTTATGAATCTCTATAAAAAAGAGATGTTGAATCATCTGTACTATAGATAAGTAGACTAATTTATTTAATAATTATCACACAATGGCACTGCATATGAATTAAACAAACAAATAAAATGATTAGATCTGTTAATGCACCATTATAACTCCCAGCTACGTATAGATGTAAATATGTAATGAAAAAATATAAAAGATCAATATCAGACACTGATAAGAATTAAAGAGTCTTGTGATTACTTTCTCAATCCTATTCTGTAGCGTAGTGGCTTTGGAAAATCAGCAGATAATGCGAAAATTAGAAGCTCTATGTTTGTCCCACTTCAATTCTGAATGTGCAGGCGGCACTACAGTAAGAACAGACAGTCTATCGAGCCCTTCCGCAAAGCCACCATGACCGCCTTCACCTATGACTGAACAAGAACAAAATTATGAGAAATTACCATTGGGTAAGACCAATAGGATTGCCACAAATGACTAATCGAGACCATATTTAAAAGATGAGGGAAGAGATAATTTCCGAAGACTTGATGTCTACCCAGTCTAGATGGAGAGGGTGCCTCAGCATATGGATCTGGATCATGGGAGAGTTGCAGGACGCGACGATGTCAGATGAAGATGCGGGGGACAGAATGGAATACCTGTGTGCCACCAGCACTGCAGGAGCCATGGCTGTGATAGCTGTGGTTGGATCTCATCGGGCTCCACGCTCCCCAGCAGGCCACATGAATGTCTGGCTGCTTGGCCTCACCGACATTGGACCAGATCGCCAAGGTCAGTCCCGGCACCTGCGCCTCGCGGACCCAGCCCCAACCTTGCAAGTCTGCTTTGTCAACACCTTGCGACCTGCCTCCGGAGGGGTGAGGGTGGCGCCGATGGGTGCAGGGTGGTGCCGCGCCGGAGGGGTCAGGGGCGCGGCGCCGGTAGGGTTGCGGACGGAGCGAGCTGTTTTTTTTGGTGAAACGCGAGCTGATTGGAATTGAACCGCAGAGAACGTGGGCAATGGGTTGGGGAGCGGTTCCAAAATCTGACTGCGAGCCGGGCCGGGTCATCGAAAGGCCGGGCCGGGTGGCTGAGCCGGAAGGCTGCCCCAAACCCCTTGACGTAGGTGCCTGAGTCTGCGGAGGACGGTGAGCCAGGCGTGCGGTGGGAGGCTCGGGTACTAAATTAATATTCGGTACCCAGGTATAATATAGAATACATATATATATATATATATATATATATATATATATATAGAGAGAATATTCAGTAGTCAGCTACAAAATAAGTTATTCTGTAGCCATCACTATTTACGATAATTTTATATACTAATTTACGATAATGTCAATATATATTTACGATGGTTGGGTTACTAAGGATATTTACCATAAAGTTATAGTAAACCACCTAGCAAGGAGTTACTATAATCTCATAAATTAACATATTAATTATAAGTAACTCAAAGTGGCTCTGAATAAGTTATTTTGTAGCCACTTCTGAGGTAATAGTTTTATATATATATATAGGAGAGTATATTCAATGAGCTACTACAAAATAAGTTATTCCGTAGCCACCTCCATTTACGATAATTTTATATACTAATTTACGATAATGTCAATACATATTTACGATAGTTGGGTTGCTATAACACATGAAGTTATTTACCATAACGTTATAATAAACCACTTAATATGGAGTTACTATAATTTCATAAATTAATATAGTAATTATAAATAAACTCAAAGTAACTTAAGAAAAACTTATTTTCTAGTAGCTACTTGAATATACTATATATATATTCTTGGTTTGGCCACATAATAACTTATTCTATGACCACCTTGATTTACGATAATGTTTGTACCAAATTACGATAATGACAATATCCATTTACGATACATGAGTTACTATAATTCAAGATGATATTATATATATATATATAGCTGGCTACAAAATAACTTATTCTGTAGCCACCTCCATTTATGATAATTTTATATACTAATTTACGATAATGTCAATACATAATTACGATAGTTGGGTTAATATAACACATGGGGATATTTATCATAACGTTATAGTAAACCACTTAGTAAGGAGTTACTATAATCTCGTAAATTAACATAGTAATTATCGTAACTCAAAGTAGCTATAAAATTAGTTATTTTGTAGCCAGCTACAGGGTAGTGTGTGTGTATATATATATATATATATATATATATATATGTATTCTTGATTATAATTGAGTGTATCGCTGTGTGGTTGTTGATATAATCACACCGTTGCATGTGTTTTCTAAACTTCTAATCAAGTAAACTTTCACTACTACAGTAAGCATTTGTAGGGAGGGCCGACAATGGTTTGTAGAGACGGTTTTGCCAGCCGCCCCTACCATACTGTCTCTACAAATCAAGGGTTTGTAGGGGTGGTTCTCAAGCCGCCACTACAAATTGATTTGTAGACGCGGCTGGTGGCACTAGCCGCCCCAAAAAATGTATTTGTAGGGGCGGCTGGTGTTACTAGTCGCCTCTACAAAAATGATTTTTATGGGCGGCTCAACCACCCCTATAATTTCCATTTATAGCCGCCCCTACAGTATATTTTTCCATAAAAAAATTCAAATTGAACCGTCCCTGCGGTACATTTTTCCATAAAAAAAATTTCAAATTCCAAAATTCAAATTTGATCAGAACATGTATACTTTATATATAATTCAAACATTGTATCCACGAGCACAAGAATATTATATAAACATTACAAGTCCAATTCACAAGAACATATATAATTCATCGTTACATAGACATAATTCACATGTCCAATCCGTTCCACAATTCCAAACCGTTTCACAAGGTAAGACCAGTATCACATTCCATATACATTGTTATCAATGGCCTTGAGCTAGTCTTTCCGTCTCAAGAAGATGTTGGTACTAAGGATGCCTTCATAACTCGGATTTTCGGTCATGATAATTGCCTCTTACGTGTATAATCTAGTCCAATATGAAGGCGCAAAGGTCGCCGATAAGCTCCAAGAGGATGTCATCTTTGTGTGAGTCAGCTCTCATTCCTTTCTCTTCTTGTCACTACAATTAAACAAGTGAGTGATGAGGACATCACTACTTCATCACATACAAGCCAAGGAGAGGAGGAGGTCCAGCATGGGCGTCCAATTCATCTTTCTCATGGTGGAGGCCCAGTCCAACTGAAGTTGGAGCCCATCTCGGGTTTCAGGACCAGTCTATTATAAAACTGGTCACACGGGCGCGTTTGGGCTCCGTTTTCGACGATCCACATATGGATGGAAAGCTAATTAGATAAATAAGCCAATGCAAGTGGTCTCACGTCAAAAGCCCTTCGGAATCAACGGGAATCGTCGAAACAATTCAACGTCCAGAATCTGCCAGGGTGTTGCGACACCGTCTTTTGGTCCGTTGGACCGTGTATCGTGTTTGGGCCCATTAGGGGTGCATCTATGGGGGGGGGTTTGTTTAGTTCTTGATTTCCTCGTGAAATAGACATCGTTTTGCTATAACTGTGCCGCCAAGGCTGCTTACTGTGAACCAGGGCCCCTGTTCTTGATCTTGTTCGCCTATGGCGATTAGTCCTTTCGAACAAAGATTTGAACTCCTTTTCATTATCATAAGCCTCATACTTATTTACAATTTCAGATTGTGTTCATCCCATTCTTGCTTGTGTTCTCGATTCGCTTGTAGGAAAGCTTTCTCAGCGAGGTCAATCGCGTTCGCGTGGTTGATAACCAATGGAGCAGTGGTGTAACGGTTGCGGGGGTCCAAATCAATCTTAGTTCAAAGTCTAGATCGTGAACGTCGAGTTTCCACTAATCGACGCTATCATACATATCGAAAGATCGGGCCTTGTCTACAATCAATCAAATACAAGTTACTTACTTTTTTCTGCTTCGGCCACCCCTTAGGAGTAGGAGTAGAGTAGATCTCGGCGAGTTCTTCAGCGAGCAGGGCTGCATCGGTCCGGCCGACCTCCGACTTGTCTATAAGTACCGTCATGGCTTATACTTCTGTTCGTACGGCTGCATCAATCCGGTCAACCTCCACTGCGACTCTAGTATAAGCTAGTTATCGATTCTTGTTTAGTTCAAGTAAGGCTGCATCGATCTGGTCGACCTCCACTGCTCGAACTAGATTAAGGTCAAGTTATCAGCTCTATCTAAGGGTGGCGTCCTTCGGATAGATTCATTAAGTTACCGATATTGCTTATTGCTTTCATTATTTATTTGATTACAGCAATATCACTTCGTCCGATTGGGATTGATCTAGATTAGCCTTATATCCTATTTAACTCATTGTTTATTAATCTAAACTGATCTAATCTGCACCTTAAATGATGAGTTATGTTTTATCGGTTGTTTTATGTCAATCTTGATCGTGCATAGTGTGCGGTTAAGGCATGTCTGGTCTTGAATAGATCTAGTGGTTAACAAAAAACCGTTCCATGGCCCGTTATCATGGCCTGTGTGATTCTACCTC